TATGTGGTCTAAAAAATGGCTAAGCTCAGTCCAAGAAAATTGAAGAACGTGTTAAATTTCTAGTTTATTGTTATTACTATTTACTTTCTTTGGTTATGGAATAAAGAGGTATAGAATAATTATTGGAATTTTTCCTATCTTGCTTTTTTACATTTAATTTCTTTTTGCATTTTCTTCTTCCCATATGCTTTTGTATTCAGGTTTACGAAAGATAAAAGAAGTAAATGTTTGTGGGATTTGTAAAACAATTAAAATGGGTCAAAGAAGAATGTTTTTCTCTGATTCTTTTATTTTTTCTTTAGATATTTTTGTCTTCATAGTTAAATCTTATCTTTGAAAGGTAGCGGAATTATGATTGTTTCGTTTTGTTTTTTGAAAGAAGTAGAGGACAAGAAGAGCAGAACCCTGACTTAGGGAAATATGTATGAATTTGTATTGAAGAAGATTCTATTTTACTTCCACAGATAATCTACTTTTCCTGGGACATGTACAAGCACACTTATAGTAATGTGGGGTAAGAAGCTTAAGTATTAGAGAAAAAGAAAAGCAAGTTTTCTGCCAGGAATCACAAATGTATAAAAGCAAGGAAGTAATCCAGGCTAAATGAAAGGATAAATCTCACTCAATGTGAACATGCATTTTTTTTTGATACATACATAAGATTTTATATTTTTTGATACATAATAAGATTTTATATTTCTTGACTCTGTGTGGAACACAAGAATGTATAAGAACTTAAGTGACCTCAAAACAGGAACCTCATGTTGCAATAGATCTCTTTTTTCTGGAGAATATTTTTAAGGATCCAAAACAGCTAACATGTGAGCTCTTCACAAATTTTAAGTTATATTTTATGAAAATTGCTAGCTTGAGCTGCCTTAACCCCTCTCTGGAACAAGGTAGGGTAGTCACAAATAAATTAATTCACTGACGCCTTAACTTAGTAAATGTAAATCATTAAGAATTTATATTTTTAAAAAATGTCCTCTACTCTTCATTCACATATACAAAAAAATAAACTCAATCATTGTGTCTGTATACCCTTGTGATTGTCCCAATGGTGAGATCAAAGTAAGAAGATATCCTGAGAGCAAAATGTTTCTTAGAGGATGTGACTTTAAAAAGGATGGTCTTATGACAACCACAACAAGAATATGCATTTCTAAACAGATTATTTGAATTCTGAGCCTTTTTATTTGATATTTATCATAAGTAAGCCAGACACTCATATGCATAAGTAGCGGCCTTTGCAGGATGTAGAAGAGAGTAGTACTCAGTAGAAAAACAGGGAAGAAATAGGTATCAGTCATTGGAATATCAAAGTACAAGATAGAATAGGAGTAGTTATGCACCCATAAAAACATTATCTGCTTCTGCGTAACAAAGAAGTGACGGAGTGGATCAATAAGGAGCAAAATAAATGAAAAAAGAGATAGCGACATGCCTACAGAAATGCATTTATGAAAGGAACAGCAAACACCATGAAAGCATTTTTTACACATTTCAGAAGAACACATCTTTATTTTTTCCACCACCCCCAAATAGCAAGTACTCTGTTATTCTATGTTATCAAAATCACTGAAAAAAAAGCAAACAGTAAATTCAATGGCATAGATTTCCACAAACTGACTAGATCCAAGGAATTACCCAGGATGCTATTAAACATTTAGCTTCCCAGGGTCCACTTACACGTCTATTGAAACCAAATCTCCACAGAAGGGCTCTTATGATTAGGCAAGACTTGCAAACATGCAATATATTATAAAAACATGCAATATATTATAAAAGGCACCTATTATGATTATTTTATACCAACCCTTTTTGAAGATTGAGCAAAAGAGGGCAACAATTCTGACCCACCGTTGTTTTTAACTGTGTGGTCCAATGTAGAATGGGAGAACATTTTTAAAGTTTCCACGTTTTAATATCCCGGTCATGTACTTACTACAGTTCTCGGCTTTCCTGTTGTCCCGGATCACTAT